ATCCACGGTGACGAACCTGGTGGAGGCCACGTTACTTTTCTCAAATTATATGGAAAATGGATATCCACGAACGCAATATACACAGACTTAAGCAAAGCCTCTGACAGTTTACCACATGGTAGGGCTTACAGAGTCTTCTTTCATTTCCACTTTCTTCACCTCTTTTGGATAATTCTGGCGTTCCTCAGGGCATCCGCTTAAGTTCACTTCTATTCACAATTTTAGTTAATGATGTTGCTTCCATATTGACGCACAGTGAGGTATTAACATATGCTGATGACTTGAAAATTAAAGAAAATGAGCTATCTATAAATGATGCGATGTATCTTCAAGACCATCTAAATCGGTACTCTAGACGATGGCGGCCATTTTTAACGAGCTATACTTTAATTGACGAAACTCTTAGTCGAGTCAATTCAATTATAGATTACGTGTTTGCTTCGATAACACTTAATCATTTAAAAACCACTAAAACCACATCATATGCAAATCAAGCTTAATGTGGGGTTTAATTAAGCGCTGATCAAAGGAGTTTAATAATCCTCATGTCTTGAAATAGCTCGTACTTTTTCCGTGCTTATATTGAATATGCTTCACAAGTGTGATCACCCTATTACAATATACATATTAACAGGATTGAGTTTATTCAAATTTTTGAGGATCGCACTATGCCTTCTTCCTTGAGAAGACCTCCATCTTTCCACCTTATAAAAAAAGACTACAATTAATTGAATTACCCATACTAGGCAAAAGACGTGATATCACGAATGTGTTATTCATTTTTTAACCTATGGAAAACATGAACCTGTCAGTAAAATACTGCTTTTATGCAATAAACACAAACACAAACTTGATTTTTCACTGACGAAAGACATTATGAAAAACCTTCTATTCACTTATGAGTGAGTATGGCCCTTTTTATTTTAAGAAATTTTTTATTTTAATTTTTCATTGTTTATTACCACCCGCAGCGGGTATAATAAGGTATGTTATGTGATGGTAACAAGTTTTCTTATCAAGTTTTCCGTAGAAATGCACTTCTCCATGGTAAGGAAGTGTAAATAAACTTTTTTTAGCAACCTGAGGGTCTGTGCGTGCATGCGTGTATTTCAAGTTCGGCTAAACCGATTTTAATGAAATTTTATATATAAATGTATTTCGACCAAGGCACGGATTGATAAGCTTTTAGGATATTTAGCCCTCGGGAACTGGACTCTTTAGCAGGCCTGCCTTACATTTTTAACCCTTATGAAGTAAATATTGAACCAGTTTGCTTGAAATTTCATATATAAGGTCATATGTCAGCAGCTGGACGTTTACTATGGACCAAATATACATTTTCATGTATATAAATAGAAGTAACCAACCACTTTAATATTTAAGCTCAAGGTGTTGAAACAATGAATCAATAAATTTTTTTTGGGAAGATTAGGGCTCAAAAAATGAGCTGGGGGCCGATTTTACATTTTTTACCATATCTACGGAACGAATTTGGTCATCACTAGAAGACCAAATTATACCTTTGGTCATCATTAGAAGACCAAATTATGCCGTACAAATTATACCTTTCGTATAATTTGTACGGCGTAAAACGAAATTCCACTAAGAGCCAAATTCGTACGGGTAATTTGTTATCGTATGTGCAGGTAAATATACCAGAGCTAACTATCATATTCATTTATTCAAAATTTCAGTACTGTGATTTTAATATTTTCTAAGATATGGCCAACCTACTACTGAATATGTATGGCATAACGAGTCAAGAAATTTCAATGATTTTTATCGCATATAACAGCCCTAATAATACACTTGTTTTCATCAAATTTTTATATTATAATTCTAATAATTTCTGAGATAATGCAAAATAACTTTTGAAGTTGTATGGCAGCTACCCGAATCAGTACCCCGATCATATCCAATTTAAATAGAGTTCTGGCATTTACTATAATAAATCATTTGTGAAAATTTGGTGAGCTTTGGTCAATTAGTTTTTGAGCTATCGTTGGACGGACGGACGGATGGATGGAAAGACGGACAGACAAAGCCAAATCAACTCAGAACTCGACGTTGAGACACACACTCGAGTCTATATATTATATCCATTATATCTTAGCGTAACAAACGGTATGGCAAATTTAATATACCCTTCGAACATACGTTCGTGCGGATATAAAAAATGTTTGCAATAAACTGAAAAGAAAAATGGTGTAAGATACATTGTTTCATAATGTCTTATACATTCTTCGATTTTGAATTTTAAATCGTCTTCTCTGACAAACAATGTAATTAAAATAGTGTACACAAAAAAAAACGTATATTGTATACTTAAAACTTTAGAAACCAAAGTTTGTTATCAACTCCAGTTTTAAAAAAAAATGTTTAATACATGTAATTGTTTTTCGTTATTTATGTTATTATTAAGCAAATATTTATAACAAATAAGTATTCACTTTGATTCTGTTGTAGCAAGAACTTATTTGTTCAGCTGTATACTTCACTTACAACTAAAGCTATAGAGTACGGAAGCACAATTTATAGCTTTTATTATAAGTGAAGTAAATAATTAATAATTTAAAGAAAAATTTATACTTACTTAAAATAAATTTTATTGTGTTACGTAAAAATAAAATGAATAAAAATTTGAATGATGAAGAAGTGCTAAGATTTTTCGAGCAGTCACCAGAAAATTCTATTGCAGATTTTCCTTCTGATTCTGATGACAATTGCGAAAAACTCCAAAGTTCATCACCTGAATTTGAAACGCTTGATAATGAAACCGTTGAGAAACTACCCGAAAAAAATGTTGAATAAAAAACCAGTTTAGAAATTACCAGTAAAGTAAGTTGCTGTTTTAAGTGAAAATGTAAAAAAGCAATTTCATCAAAATCGGTACAGTCGAACTTGAGATACAAGTGTGCACACACACACTTTTCCTGCCATGGAGAAGTGCGTTCTTACCGAAAACTTGATATGCAAAATTTCTTGCCATCACATAACCTACTTTATTGTATACATAATGTGGTCGGTAAAAATAAAATAAAATAGTGTACTATTTTTTTCATAAAATTTCTACCAATAATAAAAACATGTAAGAAGTAGGAAAAAAATTTCAAACCTGAAATTTTCTAAAATCTATACAAATTTATTTAATAAAATTTATACGCAAATAATCTACTTATTCCCCTAAAACTGTTTAACATAATTTTTCGAGATAGTCAAAGTTGACGATCGGAAAATTTTAGATTTGAAACTTCCTTTTAATTTTGCAAAAAAAAAACTGAAACGCGATTTACTCAAATCTATACCTTTTTTTATACACTGTTTTATTTCTCAACCGACGATATTATAGAAGCCAAACCCGATGGCGCAGTTTTCGTTATTTTTACTTATATTCTACATCTTCGGAAGATTAACGTAGAAAAAGAAAACAAAAGAAATTATTCTAAATTCTCCCAACATTTTAGATATGTAAGAGGAGAATTAAAAAAACTTGCTTCCGTAACACTTAAAAATAATGCTTATAATATTGTATAATATAGTTCACAGTTAACATCATAATATTATAAATACATATAATATATTATACACCTGCACAGTACATGTTTTATTTACAACGGTGTTACCACATCAATATTAAAATCTTACCACTTCAGTCGATCGATCTGATTATTTTATTAATATTCGTAACGATACGTTTTAGAAATTACAAATTGTAACAAAACATATGTATATTTTTTTATATGAAAATACAAAAACAAAATCAAATTTAAATTTCATTTTACCAAACTTAGTAATTCTTCTAATTACAAACTTAAAATTTTAAAATTATTCATATATATTTTATTCAGCACATGCTTATTAAAATTTTTCAGAAACTACAAATTTTAATAAAACATATTATATTCTTTTTAGCATTCCAAAAAATTTTTGAAAAAAATGCGTGGACATGTTTACTAAACTTCTACACACTTGAAGATAGAAAGCTGAAATTTTATATGTGCACAGATCTTTACTAGAAACTTATTTCCGTAGAAGAAAATTTTGACCTATCTCATCCCCTCTGCAACTTATACCACCCCAAAACCTTAAAAATAGCCTTTTTGAACTATTCGTTGCAATGAAACCAAAACCATTTTTCAAATTTTGCAAACGCAAAAAGGCAATGGCTTGCTTCTCCTATCGTGGCATACTATAGGAGAAGCATATAGTTAAGCTTTAAGAAAACAAAATGGCCGTTCAAGTTTACCGTTATTTAAAATCCGTTTTTTCCAAATTTTTGATGTCGTTTTTCTTCTAGGCCCCAGGTATTTGGAGTCTTTAGCAGCTTTTAGACACTAATAAAGAGTTTATTTCGTTAAAAGAAAATTTTTTTCCATCTCTACCCCCTCTTTAAATTTGTAAAATTTGAATTTTCCACGCTTTATATTTCCGAAACCGCAAGCTTTTTCAAATTCATATAAACGCAAAAAGCTAACGGTAAATTCCGTGACATTAAAAATTATAATTATTTTTCTTAACTGACGCAATTAACCCTTAAAATCGAGCTTTATGTTAAGTCCTCTTGAAATTAATTTTTGCTTTATTTCAAAGACTGCAGAAATCATTCATCCTAAATATATGCAATTTTAGAAATAGTTTTGTATATGAATGAAAATAATTTTAATAGTGTGATAGGTATACACAGACTGTATTTAAAAGCAGACTTTTCAGTTATTGAAGGGAAAAGTGCTACAATACAAACCATTGGTTTGACCCAACTTTAGTCTGATAATATAAAGTATAAATGAAAAACGTGTTTTTCTTATACAAAAACTTTCACAAAAGATCTTAAAATAGGGCTAGTTCTAATGTCAGAAGGAGCTATATACTATGCATAATAATTTCAGTTGAAAACTGGCTTTAAATTACTTTATTCTTTTTGCTTTATAATGAAAATCGCTTGTCGAATACCTTTAGTTGAAAAAATATTGCAAAAATTTCAAATAAAATTTATTTTTCAGACTCAAAATACGGTTTATGAAATAATATCAGACATGTCAACACGTCAAGATGGAATTGATGAACGACTATCAAGTCTTGAAGATAAATTACAAGCTTTAACGGTAATATATTATTATATTATAATATTTTATTTTTTGTATTGTTTAAACAAAACTTCTTTTATTTATCTAAAGTAATTTAAACTGTTACGATTTTATAGTAAATACTGCGTTTTTATATGTCAAAAGAATTAAATTCCTGTTGATCTGCAAAGACTCCCATGAACATTTTTTAACCAATATTTAAAAATCTGTCAATTCAAGTTTTTGTTCAAATGCGTTTTACAAAATTACCCTTAAAGCAGTCTAATTTTAAATCAGTTTGGCAGAAAACTCCCAAGTTAGGAAATTGGCATAGATCTTATTGAAGTATGGCTCGTGGAGTCACAATACCACTGTGTATGCAATGGCAGCAGATGCAGTAGAGCGGAGCTATGAAACCATGCACTTTTCAGATGACATTTTGCACAAGTAAAGCTCAATAGTTGCTCTCTTATTTTCTCTATAATATAAGACTTTCAGTGAAGTTTTGAATCTAGAATGACGCACAGGAATCCGGCATCTCTGCTAAAGGATTGGTGAATTTCGTTTAGTATCAGAGAGGTTATGCTTCGACTCTTATATCTCCTACTGAAAATAACTATAGCCCTTTTAAGGCATCTAGGTGCTTCCCAGATACAGCCAACCCCTAGTCATCTGCGTAGGCGACCACCTTAAAGCCTTTTCGCACCAGGAGTAGAGGCAACTGATAAATTGCCAGGTTCCACAAAAAAGTACAAAGCACACTCTACGAAAAGGCTATCCTTGATGGACCCAAACTGGGCAGTGTGTTTCCTATCAGAGCATTCAGGAAGCCATGAATTTAGATCTCCAACAGAGCCCGAGTGATCGACCGCTACTTCACATTATTGAAAGCGCATTCAATATCCAGGAAGGCAGTCAGTGTGTAATCCATGCAGTTAAAGGATTTTTCAATGCAATGTATCAAGGAGAGTAGGACACTTTCCGTTGGCCTACCCTTCCATACACATGTTGTGTTGAAGATGCCAACCCTAAGTTAATGTTGCTTCCTATGTATGCATCTATTAATTTTTCTTATATCTTTAATAGAAAGACTGTCAGACTGATAGGTCTAAAGTCTTTTGGGCAGGTGTGGGAGCTTGAATGAAGACCACCCTGTTCCATGTTCTTGGAATGTAGTTTCGGTTTATACAGCATTCGTAGATGATTTCGGTCGGGCCAGGAGCGTGACCGCGGCGGCGTTCCTCAATTCCGCCGGCACTACATCATCCGGACCCAGCGACTTGAAAAGCTTGAAGCTGCAGACGGCTCAAAGAATTTTTTTTGGAGATCACATCCCTGAATCAAAAAATTTATTGGGAAATTTTCTGTATTCAAACTGAATGTCTGCAAGGCCCCCCGCTGCCGAAATAGCTCTCTGCAACCTGGTTCTTATAAGCCCCTCAAACAGTTTCCCCACCGTTTCTAGCATACAATGTGGTTTATATGATGACGGGGACGACCGTTCTCCCTTGCACTTGCTGATTAGTTCTAGTCTTGCTGATTTCCACCTTCTACAAAACGTTCCTTCGTTAAAGCATGTATTGTGCAGGTTCAACACTATTTTAGCTCAGACTTCTACAGCTAGCCTTGTAGCCTTACCTGGAACTCCATCTGGTCCAAGCACCTTATTGTTTTTTATGCTTTTTGCCACATCTTCTAATTCTTTTTCAGTAAATTTTGAGACCATTCCGACCCCCTCTGTGAGGCTTGATGCGAGGCACTGCATTTCGCGCGCGTTGGGAAAAATGCGCCCACAAAGTTTTCCATTAGATTTCCCGGCATCTGACTGTATGTGGCTGGCATTCTGAGTTTCTTCATGACAATCTCATATTCTAATCCGTAGGGGTAATCGTTTACTTCTTCATAAAGCCCCTTCCACCACTTAATTTTGTTTTACTTGGCGGCTAACTTCAATTGTTTCTTGGCGCTCCTATACTCAATCTGTGTCTCCGCCTCCCCGGATCTATTTCTGGTACTCTGCGCTATTCTCCGATGTCTCAGACCTCTGCTTCGTAGTTCTGCTATCTCCTTTGTCCACTAATACATAGGCTGTCTGTGACCTCCTTCTTTTTTCCGTGGTATAGATTTATCACATCGAGTTGTAATTTCTTTTCATTGCTGCTTCTGCTACTGCTTCCGCCTGAAGTCGTCCTGTCTTCTGCTTGGGATGCTAGAGACCGTTAGGAAAAAAACCATCTTGTTAGTGTTCTTTTTTCTTACATTCTGTAATATTGTTTGTGTTCTTTTTTCTTACTTACGCTTTTTCGTAACACAGCTCTCCCCGAATTCCCTCCGGGAATCCGTAACTCAAATGTATTATATTGGTGGTCGCTTCCTGTGTAATTCGCAGTTATTGTCCAGCCCATTATGCTTCCCGACAATCCCTTCGATGATAACGTAATATCTAAAATGGTCCAAAAGTTGTAGCGTTTCCCGCATTTAATGCTACCAAGTTTCTTCTCGGAGCCATCTCTAATATTGTCTTCCTCTTGCATCAGTTTGCGGCAATAAAATCGCCTTGGCATTAAAATCTCCCGCAATTATTCTATCCTGGTCCATATCTTCTTCGATGTCCTCAATTTTTTAAATTTTTTATCGATACTCCATTTTTTATGTCTCAACAAGACGGAAGAGGCTTACGCAACAAACGAGAAGGAACTTCTTGCGATCGTATGGGCTCTAGACAAATTGAGAAGTTACTTATATGGTGCGAAAAAAATCAAAATAATGACCGATCACCAGTCTTTAAGATTCACAATAAGCAACGGTAATAACAACTAGAAATTGAAACGTTCGAAAGCTCGCATCGAAGAATATAACTACAAAATTGTGTATAACAACCAGGAACAAATTGAAGTAATAAATGACGACACAATTTTTCTTAACAAATTTAACGGTAATGTCACTGGACGGAATGAAACAAAAATTCTTTCAGGAAACTTTCTAGTACAATATCAGAATGAAACAATAAGAGTGAAAAATTGGACATTTTCTAACAAACAGATAAAAACAAGCCAGGTTCTACCAGCAGTCATGTATCCAAATTCAACAGAAGCAAAAATGAGAATCAACTTGAGCTATCTACACAGTTTACACCTCCACAACGTCAAACAATTACAGAAACTAATCGCGAATGACATAATCGGAATTACCACAGACATCAGTATAACATCGGTAATTCTCTTCATAGCAGCAACACTGATAGCAAGAAAACTTGTTGCGAAATGTTCAACTTGGATACCACCAGTTATAGAATCAACCAGCATCCAGATTAATGATATAATAACAGAGCCAAAAAGCATTTAACCAAGATCAAACATCGATCCACGGGCCGTGGATTTTTCAGAGGGAAGAGTTAACGATAGAATCATACATAACGTAGTACACGCGCAATGCCAAAAATGCTGACGTATCAATGGAAATTTTCTTGCAGAAATTTTCCCACAAAAATTGCTTTTAAAGTTGAAATTTATAATTTTTTCGTTATTTGAAAATTGTAACTTGAAACTTTTATTTTTTAAATAAATTTTAATTTTAAATTCTTGTTGCTTACTTTGCATATATGGCAAAATTATTGCTCACACTTTTAAAATGCAAAGTAATCAATTAATTAGAATAAATAGAACCAATTTGTAGAATTAAGTTTAAGTTTAATTTGTAATTCAATTGAAGCATAATAAAGATTTGGATTAACATCCAAATAAATTCTTTTTTTTTAAACTTCGAACAATTAAACTCGTTAACTTGTATAAGTACCATATTACATTTTTCTATTTATTTTTTTTTTGCTTCTTGTTACTATGACAAAGCTATAATTTATTTTTAACAGTTAAGTGCCAGTTTTCAATATTGTACTTAGACAAAAAAAAATTCAAAAACCACCAATTGTGATGTGATCGGCACATAACCAACCGTAATGTGTATTTTCTAGTTAAGTGAAAGTGTTACAGAATTTTATAAAAATGCCTGTTAAATACTTCTTTCCTATTTTTAGGACATTAGTAAGCTTATAGTTAACATAACATATAGAAAAATGTAAATTTGACTCTTAGTAGAGTTTCAATTTGTGCTACTCGAATTTCCTGAAATGCTGACCAAGTTTCGATAACAGCCAGAACTCAAATATCAAATTTCAAGAAATTGCATAAATTCGTTCCGTAGATATGGCAAAAAATGTAAAATTGGTCCTCAGATCAGCTTCTGAGCCCTCATCTTTCCAAGAAATTTATATGTTAATTGCTTTGATACGGAAAATTTAAATATTAAACTTCAATAATATCGGTTGATTATTTCTCTTTATATACGCAAAAATGTATATTTGGCCCGTAGTAAACGTCCAGTTGGTGACGCCTGATTTCTTCGCCAAGTTAGGAGGTTTTGCGAAAGGTCAAGCGAAGCTTATATATGAAACAAGTAAATCTGAACTTTAAATAAATAAAAGAAAAATCTGATGTGTCAGCAGATAACCGACCGCAATATTTATTGTCTAGGTAAGTGAAAGTGTTACAGAAGATTATAAAAATGCCTTTTAAACACTTCCTTCTAATTTTTAAGGTATTAGTAAGCTTTAACTTGGGTTGAGAATTGGTCAGTTTTAACTATAAGTTACAAATTGTTAGCATACATTGTATTGTAACCGATTTATACCCGATTACTAACTGAAACTACAGATTTAACTTACTTTTACGACAATATTAACTTACGTCATAAACAAGCTGACGTTAAGTAATGTTGGAGTTATTTCTCATTTTATTATCATTATTCATGTCGATTGTCAGTCGTTGTTGAGATTTTATGAGAGAAAGTCATTTTAGTGCAGTGGTTTAAAATAATGTTAAAGCAGTTAAGGAACTCTAATTTAGAATATATACTCGTAATATAAATAATAATTTTAAACATTAAGAGAAAATGATTAGTTATTGAGCAAGCAATTGTTTTAAAAATAAACATAAGCATAAAATAATCATAAAATGTATAACCAAAAACAAAAAATTCTAGTCTAGTGGTAAAAATTTCGTAGCATTTGGGCTTTTTTGGATTCTGAAATTTCTTTCTTATTTCATCATAATATTGTATATTTTAATTTATTTAATCATTGTTAATTCGCGTAAAAATAGAATGTCCAACTTAATAACAATGTAACAACGACCTGTTTACGGCATTTGTTACAAATTATTACAAATTAGTTACAAAGGTAAAGTACGATAACATAATTTACAGCTAATTCTTAAAACCTGTTTTAGAAGTTTACATAATCAAACTACATAAATTTTCATAAACTTTTAAAAATATAAATATAATAAACATAATATGTATATATGTTAAGTAGTTTATAAGATAAGTCTGATTAACTAAATAAGAAACAAAATGAAATAAAAGTTTTTAAGTCGCAGGACATTACGAAGGCGTTCGCAGCAATATCTTAAAAATTTAAGGCATGCTATTTTAGAGTACAACGCTTTAAAAACAGCATCAATTTCGGAATCTAATATGAGTTTGCGGTCACCACGTATTACGTTAAACATTCAATCAGATGTTCAACCAAATAAAATATCAGATATAGACGATAATGTCAGAGAAATTAAAAAATAAGTTTTTAAAGATAATTGCAATTTAATCTAAGATATACGGAAAAAGCATAAAGTACCAAATGCACCATCAGATTCGAGAACATTGCTTGATACACCTACTTCAAATAATATTAAAATTAAAATTGTTCCATCGGGAAAATACTGGCACTATGGTCTTAATAATATTTAAGATAGTCTATTTTCAACATTGGTGAAATGTGATGTAAATGTGGTAATAGTAGATATAAATATTGATGGCTTTCTAATTAGTAAAAATTCAAAAAATAATACAACGCTAATGATTGTTGGAGTTAATTCGCAGAAAAAATTACAAATTGCTTCGAACAGGATTCTTGAGAGACAATAAAATTATGACTATAAATTAAGTTGTTTTATCTGTGATACCGTTGCAAGAAGTTTCGTAAAAGGTACAAAGGAGCACATGGGTTATTTTTCATTTGGCCGCTGTAATATCGAAGATAATTATCCCAATGAATTTCAAAAGATGTGTTTTCACGAAACTAGTCAAACATTTAATAGAACAAATGAAAGATTGAGAAACAGAGTACATGAGGAACAACTTGATATGATAAATGATTTCCCATTAGATTTCATGCACTTAATATGCTTAGGAATAGTTAAAAAATTACTACTTTTATATTTATAGTTTACTGTTAAAGGCAAAAGATCGTTCAAACTTTCACATCAACTTGATAAACTTTTGGAAGGCGACAGAATTTCGTATGTTTTTGCTCTATTTTGGCCGGTTGTTCTTCAAGATGTTTTTCCGATGGAAAACTTCAACCATTATTTACTTTTGCATTGCTCTATAACGAGTAATTTAGTAAAAGTTTTAAACACCATATACATATTGCAGAAAGATTGTTAAAATAATATTTCGGAGAAAATATCAGTAATAACGTACACCGCTCACTTCATATTATTGAAGATGTGAAACATTTTGAGAAATTAGATAATTTTAGTGCATTTCCTCTTGAAAATCGACTTCAGTTTGTAAAAACTGAAGTTCAGTTTTTTCCGGACGCAAACCTTTAGAACAAATTGTAAGAAGGTTAATTGAAATAAGTGAAACAAATAATTGTTATTCAATTCAAATTGGTGTGCTAATTGGTGCTAAAATATACATTATTAAAAAAAGCGGTGTTCAATATATAGTGTACAAGCTTGTCAAGGAGTTTTCGACAAAATACAACTTGACAATTTTAACCTGCGAAATAATAAAAAGGATAGATGGTTTTCAACGAAATCCAAACAACTTGTTAAATTCACAAATTATACTTTCTTAAAAAATGAGCCAGCTATATACGGAGCTGGTTTGAATTATTTTATAGATTTTTACGAATTACCAATTAAATCTGCTGTCTTTAATATATTCGAATATTCAATAATTCCTAATAATTCAGAAATATTCTGTCTATCAGAAATTAATTGCAAACTTTTGAGTTTATCTATTTCAGTTGATAGAAGCGTATTTTTTCCAATATTGCATATATTGTGGAAACCATTGAAAACGAAGAGAAGTTTATAGTAACCGTTCCTGCAACTCTTGTAACTAATAATATTTTATCTTAAACCAGCACAAAAATGAGCAGATTAAAGGAAGCCAAAATTTATTGCAATCTAATAAAAAATTAACCACATTCACCTGCAGAATTTTGAAATTAAAAATAGGTATGTATAATTAATTTTTACTGCCTGCATACACATATTATTCAAGTCATCAAAATTATTATAACGTCCTTAATATATGAAAAAAAGTGTGAAGTATGTTCTTCAAGCGAAGTCGAAAACTTTCATCAGCGGAAAATCTCTGTTAATCATGCAGATCTTGGTAATCTAAAGTTTTTAAGTAAATATATGTACTTGTTTATTAATTGTTTTCTCCATAGTGGGTGATTTCAATGCGCATATTGTACCATAATTGGTACAATATTCGTGGAATGGAACTTTTACAAAAACAATCTTTCATATTTTCAAACAAATATTACATTAAATTTTAAGAAGTGTAAATAAACGTTTCCGGAGTATACTCAATACTAACATTCTACTTTTTTCAAGAATTATTTGAAAGATGCCGCATTTTGCATTAAAAGGATGAGGTATGAAACAATATTTTTAATAATAATATATAATATGTTTATATTAATAGGCTCAAACAAATTTATAAATAACTGTATTTAACTCTGTTATTATTTTTTCTTTTTCAGAGAAGAAAAAAAAAACATTGGAAAGTGGACACAGAGCAGAACTGGAAGTAGAATAATATTTATTATTCAATATGTTCTTACTATAACCAGTGCCTGTATAAATTAGATAGTATCATATTTAATTGAAAAATTTGTTTTTTAAATAAATGACACGTGAATTCAAAGAAATTCTAAAAAATTTTGAATATGCGTCTAAAGTTGAACATTTTTAAAGTTATTTTTTTATTTTGGCTAATAAAAAAAAATAGTTCTTTTTCAAATTTTATATAAAAACGAGAGAAAAAATAGAGTTGACCTTGTCAACTCTGTGATACCCGTACGAATTTGTTATCCTATGTGCGAATAACTAATATGCCATAACTAACTATGGGGCAGACTATGACTTTAAGTTGTCGTATTACCATATTAATTTATGCAAAATTTCAGTACTATGTGTTTTTCAAAATACTGGCTGTGCCAAACTACTATTGAAGTTGTATGGCAGCCAGAAAGAGCCAAGAAATTTTAGCGAATTTTATCAAGCACATCGGCCCTACTAATATATTCACTTGTTTGAAATCTCAATATCACAGCTTTTATAGTTTCTGAGATATAGCCAAATAACTTTTGAAGTTGTATGGCAGGTACCAGAAGGAGCCAAGTAATTTCAAAGACTTTTATGAGACACATTGGCCCTACTAATATATTCGTTTGTGTGAAATCTCAATATCACAGCTTTTATAGTTTCTGAGATATAACCAAATAACTTTTGAAGTTGTATGGCAGCTACCCGAACCGGTACCCCGATCACGTCCAATTTAAATAGGGTTCTGGCGCTTACTACAATAGATCATTTGTGAAAATTTGGTGAACTTAGCTCAATTAGTTTTTGAGTTATCGTTGGGATGGACGGACGGACGGACGGACGGACGGAAGGACGGACAGACAAAGCTAAATCAACTCAGAATTTGACGCTGATTAAAAACATACACTTGAGTCTATATCTAACGCCGTTATTTCTTAACGTTACAAACGGTAAGGCAAATTTAGTATACCCTTCGAACATACGTTCGTACGGGTATAAAAACTTTTCAGTAATTCAGCACATTTTCATTTGGAAGACGAAACAGATCGAATGCATTTAAGTTTGATATGTAGTTCTTTTCTAATGCATTTTTCTAGGAAAATTAACTCATTTTTTTAAATTTGAACGTCAATTACTCAGTAAAATTGGGTCAAACCAATGGTTTGTATTGCAGCGCTTTTCCCTTCAACAAGTGAAAATTCTGCTTTTAAATACAATCTATGTATACATATCACACTATTAAAATTATTTTCTTTTAATACAAAACTATTTCTAGGATTGCATATATTTAGGATGATGCAAATATGCAGTCTGAAATAAAGCAAAAATTGATATAAAGTGGGGTTAATATAATGCTCGATTTTAAGGTTTAATTGTGTGAGTTAAGAAAAATAATTATATTTTTTAATGTTATGGAATTTACCATTAGCTTTTTACATTTACAGAAATTTGAAAAAGCTTGCGGTTTCGGAAATAAAAGGTATCAAAAATTCAAATTTTACAAATTTGAAGAGGTGATAACTTGAGAGGGGGTGGAGATGGAAAAAAATTTTCTGCTAACAAAATGAACTGTTTGTTAAAGTCTAAAAGCCCCAAATTTTTCAAATTTCAAGCTTCTACGAGCTGGGGTTTAGAAGAAAAACGACATCAAAAATTTGGAAAAAAGGGACTTTAGATAACGGTAAATTTCAACGGCTATTTTGTTTTTCTAAAGTTTAACTATAGTATACTTTATACTGCCTTTCTGCGTTTGAAAAATTTCAAAAATTTTATGGTTTCATTGCAACAAATACTTAAAAAAGGCCATTTTTAGGGTCTTGGGGGGTATAACTTTTAGAGGGGGGAGATAGGTAAAAATTTTATCTAGGGAAATAAGTTTCTAATAAAGATCTATGTATCTGTTAAATTTCAGCTTTCTATCTTGAAGGATGTAGAAGTTTGTAAACAAAAAGTGTCCACGGATGGACGGACAGAGTAAAACTAATAAGCACTCTTTTTCAAAAAATTTTTGGAAAAGCGCTAAAAAGCGCACAATAGCGCTTGTAATTTTCATTCAAATTTGGAACTTATTTTTGATTTACATCCATCTCAAATATCTTTTCAACGGTATAATAGAATATACAACGCTAACATAATGAACCAAGTGCAATGTTTTTGTTAAATATTACAATAGTATAACATGATGGGGTTGTAAATAATAAGAGTAGGATAATAAATACTATTTGAATTACCTTATTAACATTTAGATATGCTTTTTATTCATACGAATTATTGCTTATAATGTATGGGTTCTGTGTTAGCAGAGTATTTTATAATTATACGTATAGATAGTTTTTACATTAAAACTTTTTATCCTATGGCAAATGCATTTATATTTGCTGTAAACGTATGAAAACACTTTTCATATTCTTACAGTAAAAAAATTTCGATATTCCAAAAACAAAATCCAAATAATTCTAAAATTATAAATCTTAAACTCATAAGTGTAACGTCAGCTAACCACGAGCTTTCGATCAATGAGGCTTTAGTCTTGTTCATAAACAAAATTCTTCGAATTAATTTCCAAGAAAACAGCAATCATAGGGGAAAAAATAATATCAAGAATCATATAACCAAATCAGTCGTGTGTGCTTGTATTGCAAGTCTTGCAAGTATTATGTGTGTAGTTTTGTAATTGTGTTCCATTATATGTCTGACATATTTTAAGTTTACTTTCTTTCTTCAAAAAGACACCCGTAATATACATATAGAAATTTTTTTTTCTAATATTTTGTAAAATAAAACTTAGAATAAGAAATGCTCTTAAAAAAGTACATAATTAAACAAATAATTAGTTCTTTTGAGATCTAATATCTTTTTAGTAATTTATTTTGACAATAAGCACTTTAAGCGATAAATTACCGTATACGCATAAAATAATTCGCTATTAAAATCCATGCACGTATGTATTTGGGTTTAATAATACATGCAAATAAAATACGTGAATGTATAATTAGTTAATACTAATGCTCTATAAGGCAATGCATATAGAATACGATTTCTATGCAAAACGTCCCAAGTTCGAACCCTGAAAAGTTCGACTTGCCAGATGAATTTCTTTTTATTGATAATTTTATTTTTTTTTTTAAATGAAACTACAAAAGCTTTACCCTTACAAATCACTATCAGCGAGTTTCCATTCTAAATATTTACCGACCGTATTGGGTATACAATAGGTAGACTCGATAGCAAATTTTGCATATCGAGTTTTCAGTGGGAATGCACTTCTCCATAGTAGGGAAGTGTAAGTAAACTATTTTTAGCAACGTGTCGGTTCGTCGGTCTATCGGTCTGTGTATGCACGCGTGTATCTCAAGTTCGGCTGAACCGATTTTGATGAAATTTTATAATTATTTAAGTAAGTTTATTTCGAACATGGCACGGATTGATCAACTTTTGGGATATATCAGGCCTCGGAAACTGCACTTTTTAGCGGGCCTGTTTTACATTTTTGAACATTTTCAAGAAAATATTCAACCAATTTACTTTAAATTTTATATATAAGCTTCGCAAGACCGACCGCGAAATCTCCTAACTTTTTGAAGAAGTCAGACCTCAGCAACTGGGCGCTTAGTACGGGCTAAATATACATTTTTGCGTATATAAAGAGAAATAATCAACCGATTTCATTGAAATTTAATATTTGGATTTCTCGTATTAAAATAATGAACATGTAAATTTTTTCATGGAAAGATCAGGCATCGGCAACTAGACGTTTACTACGGGCCAAACATACACTTTTGTGTATATAAAGAGAAATAATCAACCGATTTCATTGAATTTTAATATTTTAATTCCTCGTATTAAAACAATGAACATATAAATTTTTTGGAAAGATCAGAGCTAGAAAACTGATTTGCGGGCCGATTTTACATTTTTCACCATATCTACGGAACGAATTGATATAATTTCTTGAAATTTGATATTTGAGTTTTGGTTGTTACCGAAACTAACTGGTGAGATTTCAGGGAATTCGGGTAACACAAAGCGAAATTCTACTAAGAGTAAAATTTAAATTTTTCTAGGTATGTTAATTATAAGCTTACTAATATCCTAAAAATTGGAGATAAGTATTTAACAGACATTTTTATAATATTCTGTAACATTTTCACTTAACTAGACAATACACATTGCGGTCGGTTATGTGCTGATCACATCAGATTTTTTTTTTGAGAATACCCTATTTGTAAAAAGTTTAATGCAATAGAATAATATTTTCTTATAAAATTTTGTACTAAAAATATATTGCCAAGAAATTTAATGTACACTTATGTTTTGCTTACAAATACATTTTGCAGCAGATCGCGAAAAGAATACATAACTAAATGCGTACGTACATACTTATTATAAAACAATGTAGATATCTTTTTGTTATAATTCACACTTTCAAATATGAATTTACATATAATATTTATACTACCAAAAGTAAATAAAAAATTACCTCTACAGGATGTAGTACCATTTTGTAAAAAGCGGCCACATATCATCTTTGGGGGGGTGAAGGGGGAGGGTGGGTAGAATTAATGCTTTTTCTGGGACCCTAGAAGCAAAGTCCTATCAAATGACTTTTGTCCCATGTCTCTAGCCCTTCTTGAAGTACCCGTACTTTCTGACGCCTGAGAAGTAGCTATGTAAACTCGTATATAATAATTCCATATTTACTCTAATATAGTAAGTCTATTAACTGAGAATAAGTTGCGAATATGATATTGCTTTTGGTTAAATTTGTTCGAAACTTTTATTAATTTAATAATAAAATATTAAAAAATAAAATATATAATAAAATGAAGTTTTATATAAAATATTTCATGAATAAAACACCAAGCAAGCACTTTTCGAGATTTTCAACTTCAGGTCCGAAACTCCCTACGTAAATGTAAAACTTTTTAATTAAAAATCAATCTAGATTTTTAAACTTAATCAAGTTCAATTTTAAGCTACATGATTGTGTTTTTGACATTGAAGCACATTGTTGATACTCTACATAATTATAGAACCAAATTTTTTATGGGAACTTACATACATAATATTATGTAGATACATATATTAAATATTTAGTACTTGAAAAAATTATTCATTCATTTAAACCTATAAATGTTTTTGTTTATGTTCATAATTTTCTCAAATGCTCTACTTTCATAAAGTGTAAAGTGCTTTTCTTTGAACATATTCTCTTATCAAAAGAACTTTTGACGACACCTAAAATATTTTAATTGGATATTTCTGATTAGTAATACAATAAATGGAAAAGAATTGTAGCACTATGATAATTCAATTAATTTTTTTTTTATTTTTTTATATTTGTGTAGAATTCAAACAAGAAGGATGATTTTTATATGAGTTCGACTCTTTTAAGACGTAGTTATTATAACCAGTTTAAAATTAACAATATATAAAATAATTTTGTCTAAAACTTTATGAGAAAATAAAATATCTATGTGTCTATATGTATAAAATATCTATGCGTTTTTACAACATGCCATTCAATTTTGTATTTGAAAAAGTAAATAAAATAATTGTAATCATCATTATACCCTGCACTTCGTGAAGGGTATATTAACTTTGGTATGGAGTTTGTAACTACTTGAAGGAGTCATCTGCGGTATGGACATATATATATATTCTTGCTCAGCGTAAAATTCTGCGTCGATTTAGACATGTCCGTCTGTCCGTCCGTCCGTCCGATCGCACGATAACTCAAAAACGAATAATGCAATCGACACCAAACTTTCACAAGTTTTTTTTTTTGCGCCAAGGACGAGCCCTATTGTTATTGGACCAATTCGGACAACGGGTTCGGTTAGCTGCCATACAACTCAAAGAGTTTATTTTAAATATTGCAAAAACTAATAAAGCTATAAATATAAAATTTTGTATACATTTGTCCAATTATATGCTACACATGCTCTAAAAATTATAATGGGATAGCTGCACCGGTTCGGGTGGCTGCCATACAACTCCAACACCAAATTTTTATATTCGGAAAAATAATAAAGTCAGATTCATGAAACTTGGCAGTCATGTGTCCAATTATAGGTCAAATATATTTCTGAAGTTTTAGAGGAATTGCCTGACAGGTTCGGGTACCTGCCATACAACTCCAGAAGCTTATTTTGAATATTTGGAAAAATAATATAGTCAGATACATGAAACTTGAAAGTTGTGTGTCGAGTTATAGGTCAGATATATTTCTGAAGTTTTGGTGGAATTGCTTGACAGGTTCGAGTAGCTCCCATACAAGTCTAAAAGCTTATTTTAAATATTTGGAAAAATAATAAAGTCAGATTTATGAGCTTTGGCAGTCGTGTGCCCAATTGTAGGTCAGACATATTTCTGAAGTTTTGATGGAATTGCTTGACAGGTTCTGGTACTTGCCATACAACTCCAAAAGCTTATTTTAAATATTTGGAAAAATAATAAAGTCAGATTTATGAAACCTGGCAGTTGTGTGTCGAGTTAAAGGTCAGATATATTTCTGAAGTTTTGGTTGAATTGCTCTACAGCTACGAGTAGCTCCCATACAAGTCCAAAAGTTTAAATATTTGAAAAAATAAAGTCAGATTCATGAAACTTGGCAGTTGTGTGTCCAGTTATAAATCAGACATATCCGTGAAATTTCTATAGAATGGTTTCACAGGTTTGAGTAATTGCTATACAACAACGAAAGATGCAGGGTATAATTCAATCGGTTTATACCGACTGAAACGTTTTTACTTGTTTTAATTTAAAATTACCAAAATATCTTAACAGGAAATTATTTTGCAAACAAACGATATACCAATGTTTTTATTTTAACTATGAAATTAATCATAAATTATTAATTTTTTTTCTGACATTTAGGAAAACTTTGAATCCATGCCAGATATTATAATGAGATGTCTTACCCAACATCACGAGAGAATTGAAAATCGCAAAAATTTTCTGCACCCAGATGCTGCTGTATTGTCTTCAATTCAATCGTTTCAAACTACTTCGGCAAATCCTACTTTCTTCTCTCATTCAAGGTACATACATATAATATAACTTTTAAATCTATGCAATAAACTCACCATTTACTATATTTATTATACTTAAGATAAGCGAATCATATGTTAGCAATTATATTGGAAAAAAGACTCTATCTGCAGCAGCATGAATCAGTTCCTCTGCTGTTCTTACACCTATCGAATTCTTTATGTTGCCTAACCAGGAAAGCTGTTTTCTTCTCACACCCCTTCTTCCTTTGATTTTACCTTCAATTATTAGTTAAAGAAGTTCGTATTTTTCTCCTCGCATCACATGACCAAAATATGCAGTCGTTTTACTTTTTACTATGCGAAGGAGTTTTGTCTGAGTATGAAGTATACTTAGTACTTGGAAATTTGTTACACGATCTGTCCACGGTATACTGTGTATTTTTCTTTAGATCCACATTTCAATAGCTTCGATTTTATTCATGTGTAACACTTTCAACGTCCACGATTCCAACCCACATAACATCATAGATCAAACATAGCATACGTTAGATAAAATTTTCTTGTATTTACAAAATGCACCTCTGCATATTTCAATTCGACATTTTATTTCTTTGTTCGAATTCCAGTCTTCATGGAGCCAGCATCCAAGAAGGTATTTGAAGGTGGATACGCACTCAATACGCATTCAAGATATTGTTAACTGAAATTGTTACATTGCTTTAAGTTTTTCTGTTGCTGCTTACAATCATGAATTTAGTTTTTTTCTATATTGATTTTTAAGTCGTAATTTTGACTGTGCTCATTAACTCTGTTGACTATTTGTTGTATATCGTCGATGTTATCGGTTACTAATGTTGTATCATCTCCGTATCGAATATTATTAATGAAAGTGCCGTGAACCTAAATTCCTTTGTTCAGTGAATTGATAGCTTTTTGGAAAGTAGCTTCTACGTAGATGTTAAAAATTAGTGGTGAGAAATGCACCTTTTTCTATTCGTATCTTATTTGTGATTCCTTCTTTGTTGCGTATCTGGGTGGGCTGACGCCAGTATAAATTTTTAATGCATCTTACATTTTTCTCATCTAAGCCGATTCTTTCCAATATTTCTGTTTATAATGTTGAACATTATCAAAGGCTTTTTCGTAATTAGCAAAACACATGAATACGAGTTATCTTTTTTCTTTTTTCACGTCACGACAGTGACATTAACGCTGAGCAGAGCTTCTCCAGTACCCGTTCCGTCTAAGAAATCGAATTGCGTTGTGCCCATATAACTTTCACATTTTTTGTAGATGTGATTATGGATTTTGAAGTACGATCCATTAAACTAATTAGTCTGTGGTTGGCACAATTCTTTGCATTGAACAATTTCGGAAATGCTATAAAAGTTGATTTCAACCAATTTTCTGGATAATTACCGGTATCACTAGTAAAGCTAAATTTCCATTGTCAATAAGTTTTATCACTTCAGCTTGTAATGCATCCGAATCAACAGTTTTCGATTAAGTTGATAGCCTTACGTATCTCATCTTGTGATTGATGAACCAGTAAATTGTCTAGAACCCAACAATTCATTTGACGCAATTTAATATAGTTTTCCCAAAGCTTTCATCTCGTCATCTTTCAAGTCATCGTAGCATCGCTGCAATCTTTCAATTTCTTTGCATTTCTGATCCAGCCAATCCTCTTTAGCTTTCCTGCATTTCAATGCAATTATTCAGTGTAAACGTTTATATTCTGCCTAACTTATGTTACGCTGCTTACGCCTTTCTTCCATTAGTAAAAGAATTTCGTCGGTCATCCACTTTCTTTTAAGTGTAAACTTTTTTGTTCCTAAAATTCTTTGCCATAAATTATTCAAAACTTTTCGTGTTTCATTTCACACCGTTTCATATCGTGATGGTTTGCAATGGATCTTAGTTGTCTGTTGATTTGCGTAGATAGAGTGAATTTGATTACATCGTTGTTAAATTTTTCTGTATCTAACTTTGGCTGCAGATGTGGATTTTTAATGCAGGACAATTTAATTTCAAGTTCAGCTAAAAGTAAATTATGGCTAGCTGGGACACGTGCCTCCGGGTAGGTTGAACCTTTCACAATGGATGTAGCGAAGCGCTTATTAATTAAGATGTAATCAATTCGATTTCTTACTATTTTATCATCACGGTTTTGCGGAGATGTCTAAGTATATAAACGTCTAGATGTTAAACAAAAACAAGTTTTGGTAATCTTGAAGTTTTCCTCCTGACAAAATTCAACCAGAAGATCGCCTTTTTTATTACATTCTGGACCTAGATTCATTATTAGCCTAGACCGTGCGGTCCAACAATCTCGCTCACTTTTCCGACACCGAATTTCGCATTAAAATTACTAATTATTAAGTTTATGTCTTGGATTTTGTTAAATTTAACATATTTTTAATTTTCCTGTAAAACTGTTCGATTTCTGTGTCATCTTTATCGGCTGTGGAGGCATAGACCTGGATTATATTTAGTGCTATGGGTTTGGTATTAAATTTTAATAGCATGACTTTATCCGAGTGTGGTACAAATGCCGCAACATATTTAAGCAGATTACTTGCTACTATTACTTCTACTCTATTTCTGTAATTAGCGTGGTTGTTGCCAGAGTAGTAAAGTTTGACTCCGTCAGTAAACCATTCAACAGAATTTGGCCACCGAGTTTCGCTCACTAGGATATTAATCTTGAGTATTTTCCTTGATAGCATATTCAGTTTGCTACCTTATACAGACCGGTAACGTTACATGTCCCAATATTTAATTTTTGTTGTTTTTTACCTCCGCGGAATCTTAGCACCCTCGTTGTGCTATGTTTCTTACGTTTTCAATGTGATTTTTTTAGGTAAAAAAAACCTGTGATTTTCTATTGCTTCTGAAGAGTTTACGGTAGTTTTCTTTCTTTGCAGCTCATCTGCCCTTTCAGGGAACAGGCGTTGTTTGTAGCCGTCTAGTATAGAAGGGTCGCTATGGTGAAAATTTCTGAACCTTTGATTCAAAATGTTGAAGTAGCTCCAGAAACCACCAGTTGATTCATTGTGTACTGACTCACTTTCACCACCAGGGTTGGATACCCGATCTTTTGAATGAGTTGCTCAACATAACAAAGAGTACCTCTTGAAGGTATAACTTAGCGTTGAGTAGTAAAGTTTAACCTTATATAGATGGAAAATATAAGCTGTGATTGCGCGTACTAACTCATTTCCTCCCATTTTATTCTATTACATAAAATTATAAAGTTTCATTAATACTAATTTCTTACATGTAAAATCGATGAAGAAGCATATTGCAAAACTTTTTTTTATTTTGTTCTTTTTAGAAGTACTACATCATACCCGTTATCATATCAATGTCCTACAAATATGCCTGCTGCCCCTGGCAGGAATTTACAACTGGTTTCTGAGTCAATGAATATAAATAATGCAAATAATCAGTCTACATTTCCAACAAAATTCAATAGCTGAAATAAACATCAACACAGGGATAATTGAAATTATTAAATATGAAAATTAAATAAATTTTACCGATTTATGTAAGGTTTTTTTTGTCAATAATATGTTATGGTTGTTATGCGTTCATGTGTTGTTACGTAAATAAAAAAAGTCATAAAAAGTACTTTAAAAACTACATTTTTTCAGTTCTTTCAATTATTTTTAAAGAAATATTTTCCTCAAAGCAAAAATTTTAATACTTATACACAGTCGTAAAAAGAAAAATAGTTAGAAGAAAAATAAGAAAAAAAAATTAATAATTTTGAAGAAAAAGAAGTGTAATAGTTTTGGTTTTGGAATTTGATGACACACTACGAACTCAAAATTTTAACTGTATAATATATATATATATTCAATACAGTTAAAATTACTATAAATTTAACTTATACATACAGTACGTTTGCCAATAAGATTGTCTACATTAAATTTTCGACTATTATTATACCCGTAGAATGTGTGTTCCAAGGGTGTTAATATTTTTACCGTTTGTAACGCTAAGAAATAATGGTTTAAGATATAGACTCAAGTATTTGTTTTTGATCAGCATCAAGCTAGGAGTCGACTTAGTTTTGTCTATCCGTCCCAACGATAATTCAAAAATTAATATAGCTAAGTGCATCAAATTTTCACAAATGATTTATTATAGTGAATTCCAGAACCGTATAGTTAGTTATAATCGTGGTACTGGTTCGCGTACCTGCCATAAAACTTCCAAATTTATATTATAGTTTCTGAGATATAGCCAAACAACTCTTGAAGTTGTATGGCAGCTCCCAAAAGGAGTCAAGCAATTTCAACAACTTTTATAAAAAACATCAGCCCTACTGATATTTTTATTTATGGGAAATTTCAATATCACAACTTTAATAGTTTCTGAGATATAGTCAAATCATTTTTGAAGTTGTGTGGCAGCTACTAGAAGGAGAACAGCAATTTCAGCGACTTTTATCAGCCATTTTGATCCTACTAATATATTAATTTGTGCAAAATTTCAATACCAAAGCTTTTATAGTTTCTAAGATATAGTCAAATAAATGTTCAAGTTGTATGGCAGCTACCCGAACCAGCACCCAGATCATAACCAATTTAAACAGGGTTCTGGCATTTACTATAGTAAATAATGTGTGAAAACTTGGTGAACGTTACTTAAGTAGTCTTTAAATTATCGTTGGAACGTACATACGAACAAACGGAAGGACAAAAAAAGTTAAATCGACTGATCAAAAACATACACAAGAGTTTATATCTCAGACCATTATTTCTTAGTGTTACAAACGGTAAAGCAAAAGTAGAAAATTTTTTGAACATACGTTATTTAAACATAATCGAAAAATTTGCATCAATCCAGTGGTCCGCAATCCCGAGATCAAGTATCTCACCAAACAAATCGCAAACAATACCTCTGCTGAATCTGGTAAAGACATGATCTAAGCAAGACTGGGAATGAGGCCTTGTAACCTCAGAAATAACTGATAATAAGCCAAAAGATGAGAACATAAAAAGATAACCATCAACAGTATTACCCACAGATAATAAGTCAACATTAAAATCACCTAGAATAATGAGATTTTTAGATTTTTCAAATGCTAAAGAATCATAAAATTTTTCTATAAAATCATTAATGTTAAAAAAATTGAAACGGTACACACAAACACACGTAAAGTTGGAATTGTTCAACCTTAATATCGAACTTTAAGACATCAGCACATCCAAAATTAAATTTTTCAGTCAATTAAATGTTATAATTTATTTTATAAAACACAAGCACAGATTCATTACAACATGCAAAAATTTTATAGTTAGCTATTTTAAAATTGTGAATTTTATCTTTACAGATTCAAGAATATTAAGTTACAAGAAAATTTAGAGTATTAATATAAGCTAAAACATGAACAGAATTCTTTCTGATACTTCTTGTATTTCGAACCAACACAAAAAATTTTGAACAGAAATTCAAATTACTATCATTATTAATAGAATACCTTGCACTAGCAGCCAAACTTTGGGGAGTAATATTAATTGTCAATTGAGCAATATTTGCTTTTTGAAGAAATAAGAAGAAAAAATATACAAGAAATAATATTATTGTTAACCTAACAGAGTATTATTAAGGAGAATTTTATTCCTGTGGTTAGAACCAACACTACCAGCATTTAAATTTTTCAAACAATTCTTACTTTTCATAATTTTAGTTTTAGTATTCATTTGCTTGAATTTTACACAAATTATCTTCCTGTTTACATTCTTATTTGAGCTTTTTATTCTTATGGATTTAACAAAACAATTACTAATTTCCTCTTCTTTCACACGTTCAGCAACTAAGGAAGAAAGATCTTTTCTACAGTCATTTATGCCTAAAATATCAAAGCATTTTCTTTTTCTCTTTTGTTCAAAACTATTTACATACTTTATTTTCATGATAGTGAACTTTTCATACCCTGCACTTCGTGAAGGGTATATTAACTTTGGTATGGAGTTTGTAACTACTTGAAGGAGTCATCTGCGGTATGGACATATATATATATTCTTGCTCAGCGTAAAATTCTGCGTCGATTTAGACATGTCCGTCTGTCCGTCCGTCCGTCCGTCCTTCCGTCCGATCGCACGATAACTCAAAAACGAATAATGCAATCGACACCAAACTTTCACAAGTTTTTTCTTTTGTGCCAAGGACGAGCCCTATTGTTATTGGACTAATTCGGTCAACGGGTTCGGGTAGCTGCGATACAACTCAAAGAGTTTATTTTAAATATTTCAAAAATTAAAAAAGCTATAAATATAAAATTTTGTATACATGTGTCCAATTATATTCTACATATGCTCTAGAAATTATAATGGGATAGCTGCACCGGTTCGGGTAGCTGCCATACAACTCCAACAGCAAATTTTTTATATTCGGCAAAATAATAAAGTCAGATTCATGAAACTTGGCAGTCATGTGTCCAATTATAGGTCAAATATACTTCTGAAGTTTTAGAGGAATTGCTTTACAAGTTCGGGTACCTGCCATACAACTCCAGAAGCTAATTTTAAATATTTGTGAAAATAATAAAGTCAGATTCATGAAACTTGGCAGTTGGATGTCCGATTATAGATCAGATATATTTGTGAAGTTTTAGATGAATTGCTTGACAGGTTCGGGTACAACTCCAGAAGCTAATTTTAAATATTTGGAAAAATAATAAAGTCAGATTCATGAAACTTGGCAGTTTTGTGTCGAGTTATAAGTCAGATATATTTCTGAAGTTTTAGTGGAATTGCTTGACAGGTTCGAGTAGCTCCCATACAAGTCTAAAAGCTTATTTTAAAAATTTGGAAAAATAATAAAGTCAGATTCATGAGACTTGGCAGTCGTGTGTCCAATTATAGGTCAGACATATTTCTAAAGTTTTAATGGGATCGCTTGACAGGTTCGAGTAGTTCCCATGCAAGTGTTAAAGCTTATTCTTAATATTTGGAAAAATAATAAAGTCAGATCCATGAAACTTGGCAGTTGTGTGTCCGATTCTAGATCAGATATATTTCTGAAGTTTTGATGGAATTGTTTGACAGGTTCAGGTACTTGCCATACAACTCCAAAAGCTAATTTTAAATATTTGGAAAAATTTTAAAGTCAGATTCATGAAACTTGGCAGTCGGATGTCCAATTATAGGTCAGACATATCCGTGAAGTTTCTATAGAATGACTTCACAGGTTCGAGTAAGTGCTACACAATAACGAAAGGTGCAGGGTATAATTCAATCGGTTTATACCGACTGAAACGTTTTTACTTGTTTCTATAAACTTTTGTTTTCCGAAGTAATTTAAAAATCTGCAAAATAATTTTCAGCCAGCATACTTCTCATTTCAATAACAACATTGTAAAGCAACAAAAGAGAAACATCACCATCAACAGTTACTTCACTGTTCTGAATAGATATAAAGCTATTATTGTTGTTGCTCATGTTGTTGATATTGCTAATGCTAGTGTGGTGAAGTTTGGGTGTGGTGAATTGGTGAGAGAGGATGTTAAGACTGAAGGCGACCTAGAAGAATTGGTAGGCCTATTGTCATACGACCGATGTAGTTCTTTGCATTATTACTTGTTCAAAATACTTTATATGTCTAAAATAAAGCGCCAGAATTGACGACCGATTTTTTTTTTTAAAAATCCGTTTAATAACTGAAAATAGTGTTAATTTTAAAAAAAAATGTAAGGTTAATATTGAAAAATTTAAAATTTTTTTTTAAACAATCAGTGAAGCTTACAATCAGTAAGAACTAATCATTTTGAAGTTTTTACATATAACTAGATGAACATTTTAAAACACAGGAAAAAATTTAGAATATTTTGTGGCACTAAGAGGACTACATATTTAGACAAATTGAATGCCACAATTAATTAAAATTAAGTACTTACACGAAATTTTAATTTCTGAATTTCTGGCACTTAACAAATTTACAACGATTGCAAGATAAAAGCGTTTCAGTCGGTATAAACCGACTAAATAATACCCTGTACCTTGATAATCGGAGTTTAAAAATTTGTTTTTGAAATATTGTTGTTTAAAATAGAGCTATTTCATGGCTAAAAAGTTCCCATGTTAGATTTTTCTGGAACCATAGAGGCAAAACCCTATCTAATGGCTTTTGTCCCATGCCACTAGCCCTTATAGAAGTACCCGTACTTTTTGACACCTGAGAAGTAGCTATATATATATAATGTAAAATAGGATGGTTTTTGAAGAGTTATACGAAATATGAATAAAATAAAGAATTATAAAGAAAAATTCAAGGTACTGCGTGGCCTGGTGGGTAGAGTGGTAGTCTAATAACCTGAAAGTTTTTAGATCAATGCATATTCCTTCCCAAATATACGATGATACAGTTTTAAAATTAATTTTTCATTGTTGACATTATTTCAAATTTTTTAGCTCATTTTAATTGATTGTCAATGTGCAGGGTATTGTTCAGTTTCGGTTTTACAGATTGAAACGTTTTTACTTGTTATAGTTTTTCTTTTCCTTACTCCAGAACCATGGATTTATTAAGTTTTTGTACAGATTCACGTCTAAAATTTTTAAAACTTCTTTTCCACGATGTTGCAAGATATCTTTTATATTTGCTTCTGAAGGAAGATGCATTATTACCCGGAT